ATGGCATAAGCCGGTAAACGAGCAGACGGATCACCTGATGGTAAGCAATCTGCGCCGCCCATGGACACCTGTAACAACAGAAGTGCTAGAAGTGCGTTACCGGTCTTTTGGGAATTGGTAATTTGAGGATTGTCAGGGATTGGGGGGGCTGGGGGAGGGGTAATTGGGCCTCCGGTAACCTCACTTACACAGCGAAACACTCCTTTAGGTAACCGAGGGCTGGGCTCGCTGTCATTGCAGCGGAAAGTCCCCTCTTTAAAAGTGGCTTTAGAGAGGCCATCAATGCAAGGACCGCCCGGAGAACACGGTGGAGCATACCGTGGCGGTGTACCTTGCATGGGCTGAGCACCGCCGTGTTCTCAGGGATGCAGGAAACGGTGACCTCTCGCGTTCGGCTCTGGTTCAGGCCATGGAGCGAGGGGGATTGGGATGCAGTCGCATCCTTCTGCGAAGCAGTTATGCTTGCCAAGGAGAAAGCAGAGCGCGTGAGGGAACGAACTTCCTCACGCCCCAGCCGTCGCGGGAGACACTCTGGGCGGCGGAGATCGGCCGGCCACCGGCCACCGTAAGTGCGGGTCTGTAGACGAAGAGCAAGGGTAGCTCGCCACCCGACCAGAACCAGTCCCGTGCATACGGCGCTCGCCTTACAGAGCCATGACACCATCATAGATGGAGCCCAGTAGGGCTGATGCTCGATACGGTGCGGTGCTACGGTACGGTGGTGATCTAAAAGTTTTTAACCCGAAAAACCCACGAAACCGGGAACTGTGCTGTTAAAATCACTATATCTATTTGATTGAAATGCGATACAACATTGATTTGCAAACATAGAATAGTGAAACCTCACGAGACGGGCACTGTACGGGTAAAACCTCTATAGGATTGTTTATTTTAGAAACCACGAAAATAAATTCATTTCTCAATAAATATAACCTAGGTACTGAATCGATTGTGATGATATTTGTTCCAGTTGTACAGCCGTAGAATATACCTTGACAAAGACTAATTTGAAAAACCCAATTTATACAGAAGTCGTTATTTCACGCGGACGAAGTCGCAGGTAACAGCTAGTTTATAAATATACGAAATGAATAACGCCTTAGTTTTATGACTGTAATGTTATACTATTCTATTTGAAAAAAAATAACATTAGGTAGCACTTGGATATCTTGGTAAAATATTAGCTTTATCACAAATAATAATGTCACGATAAATCTAATACCTAGCACTTCCATAATGTAGCATTATGCAATGCAATAAAAAGGATACATATATACATAAATGTATAGCAGTATTTCCTATATCCTATTATCACACACAATAGATCATAGTTCGCAATGACGGCACCAAACCAAACTGTTATTGTAAAGTTGTAACCTCATTACGTAAGCCGGTCGTTATCCGACAGATTCATTTAAAGTCGAAGCTATTCGAACGAAATGAGAATTGTACAATCATTCAGCTATGTGATCGGACCTATGTAGCTAACCTATCTAGGTACATTTATATTATCAGGCCCATGAATAATAGGAATAGGAGAGAATTTTCTTTAAAGCATTCTGCCTTCCGCGGCTTCGTATATATATATAAATAACTCTAGATATATCCCATTTTATGGTGACGGTGGCCAACGTAAACCTATAAAGTATGTATATAAAAAAAATGTGGTAACTTTGTATTTGGTATCATACGAAGTTCTGATCACTATTGTACTTACAAAAAAGCTAGTATTACTATTATTAATATAGCTGTTTTGCTCCTGCCACGGACATGTACCTACCTGGACATTAAAACAAAAGGCTGAATAGATAAGAATGATGAGTAATAAAACGTAAAATAAAATGAACACAAAAAAGAAGATAAGATTTAAAAAAAAATTATGGCATAATCCGGTATACGAGCAGACCGATCCCCTGATGCTAAGCAATCGGCGTCGCCCATGGACACCTGTAACACCAGAGACGTTACAAGTGCGTTACCGGCCTTTTGGGGATTAGGAGTTTGAGGATCGTTGGGGATTCAAGGATTGGGGATATTGGGGAAGGGGAGGGTAATTGGGCCTCCGGTAACCTCACTCACTCGGCGAAACAACGCAAGCGTTGCTTCACGTCGATTTTCTGTGAGGCCATGGTATCACTCCGGTCGAGCCGGCCCATTCGTGCCGAAGCATGGCTCTCCCACACTTAACAAGATAATGTACAAAAAGGACATAAACATTGTGTTAACTACTTAAAAAAACTGCTTTACTATTTTCTAAAGTCTCCAATCTAAGGATCATAACTGATTAATATGCAATAAGTCATTAATCGTTCCTCTTTAAAAATGTAAGCAGTAGGTCGCATAAATCGCATTAAAATAAATACGTTAAGTACGTAATTTACAGAAGTTGTATACTTAACTTCAAGAATAGCTACTTCATGCTGTAATTTATTGATTTTTCTTCACAAATAGAATTTCTCTACCACTTTACGTAGAAGTACCTACCTACCTATACGTATACGTGTGCCAGTGACATTATGACTTATGATTTTAAAATTACGAACCATTTTCTTTAAACTATGACATGCACGTATTGCACACGGTTTCAATTAGTAGGAAAATTCAATATCATATATTACAATGTGAATATCAAGAGAACATTTTGATTTAAAATTCAATTTGTATCAACAATATGCCTGGGCAACGATTTACGTCTTTAGATGGCAAATGAGAAAGGGGTATATAATAACCTATCTAGTAAAGTTTTTATCGACCACTCGAAAACATTTTCTTCAAAATATAATACTTAAAAAACAAAATAATATTCGAAATCGGGATAAGACACCCAGAAAAGGAACTTAGAAAGTTACTTAAAGACTATGCTTAATAATTGCAACCTTGCACTTTCGACTTTATTATATTCAAATAAGTCAATTACTTAAGATATATAGCATTCGGACCATATAAATAATATCAATAAATATTATGGTCACATATCTAAATAAGTAATTCATTTACCTTACTATTGGATGGGATGTATTCCGTAATAATACCTAATACGGTGAAATGTCAATGTTCGCAAACATCGCAAATTCGGTAAATGTCAGGGGCGTTAGAATGGAATTAAATTTCTTTTTCCCGCGCTTCCATAAATGGCGCCATTTTATTGACGTTTAAGCAATTTGCAAAACTCTGTTACCTACACTCCATAGTCTTTGGTCAGGGTATGAGGGAGCGATTAAAAAATATAAATAAACTTTTTAAAATTACAAATTAAAAAATAGAAACGTCACAAGTAAACTTGCGCTACTATTGCAGATTGTAGACTAACTAAAGTATTTACCTTCTTCAGTTAACCACTTTTTAATGTCATCTTAGTAAATTCAATTGGTTATTTAGATAAAACACAAAGGTCAATAAACTTCAAGATTTTTCCTTTGACGTCAATATCAGTCGAGATCATGTGAAAAAAATAAAAAGCAACTAAGACAGCCAATAACTCCCAAAACAATTTTTTGTATGAACAGGTAGATCATCTTTACAATTATAAGTCCAAGTGCTTTATTGCTGGATAAAGGTGATTATAATGTTACGTATTCTGCAAACACTTGATGCCTGACTGAAGCACTTTTATCACTCAGTTTTAGAGGCTATTGAATTTTACCTTTATTGCCTTTTCGTAGTATCTACCTAAGTACCGACTCAGATATCGTAAACCTCATTTTTGGAGTCTTTATGAGCAAATAAATATCTGCAAAATAATCTCGAATTAGTGTCTAAGGAATGAATAATTGATACATAAACCTATAGTTGCTATGTTCACCTCACTATTAGCACCTAATAACATAGTTAAGTATAGTTAAGAGGTACGCGACTCCTTAACATAAGGTCCTTGATTCCAGGTAGGGTAAAATATTTTAACCCTATCAAGATTAACGGCTTTTTTAACAGATATCATCCTACAAATTGTTTAGAGGTAATTTTCAATATGATTTACCTAGAAACAAAATGTATCTTACCAATCAAAGGTTCACCTCTACCTACTTCTTCGGGGAATAACAAAATCTTGTTAGGCATCTTATTATGTTATTGTAAACACAATATAAAAAAACTAGTTTGTCTATCTTCAATAATTCTTGGATAAGCTTGAGGATAATGGCTTCTAAGTAAAAGGCTGTAATTTATTCAATAAAAACATTAAAATAAACTTTAGACTCGACAAAGCTGTAATCGGTAAACGAGCGAAAATATTCATTGACCAAAACATAACCACGTTTCCTGATAACGATATTAATAACAGACGTGCCGAATCGATAACCTCCGTTTCTTTAATCGATTAGTTGGAAGCTTCCGATTATTTCGGAGTCAATTGAAAAGATATTTATGAGCACATGGATTTTGTTTATGATTGAGGACGGAGGGGAGGATAAAAGGAAGGACTTTGTAAGGAGAATCTAGGTCAAAGGAAACGGAGGCTTTTGTTCAGAACAGTAGACGTTCCCTAACTGATATTGATTACGAAACTGATAACGTTTTGTATTAAAATCAAATAACGCAGGAACAATGAATTAGAACTATAGAATAGTATTAACAAACGCACACATGAGCACCCATTTATTCGATTTTCGGTAGAAGAACAACAAAGTAACAAAAATGTACGTTGTACATCCTAGCAAATTTTTGCATTTATAATAGATACTGCCGATTTCATTAACCAATCTCCATCCAAAATCTGTGGATATGGATCGATTTTTGAAATAATTAATTGTATATTGATAGGTTTTTCAAATTGGCAGCTAATCACGACAATGTTGCATATACTATGTACCTACATATTACACAACATCTACGCTACGCGTAATATAGGCATACTTACCTATCTACATACCTAGACGCAACAAGAAGGTTAAGGGTTACTGATAAAATTATTTTTAATTACATTATGCCAGTTGCAGTCGCTAAGTACGCGAAGTAGACGTCAGGACGAAGGGCCCTGACCCGTGTGTGCTAGACTTTACAAAATGGTCCTAACAATATTTGGCTTTGATATACATTTTCACAAATTCAGGGTCATCAGAGTTCAAAGGTGAGTCGCAAATCTTTAATCAGTGCCTTTATGGCAAAGTTAAATTGATTTGTAGATAATTTTCAATGTGAGTAGCAATTTTATTGATATGTAGACACAGACCTATAACTGATATTAAGTGCAGTGCAATACTCTAGCTATTAGATATCTGCTAATAAGTAGTTTCCATAGGAATTAGTTAACTCAGTATTTGTAATCGTGAATGATATAGACAATGATGGATTAGTTATGTAGATTGTGCAGTCAGGTGATCAAAATAATCTTCATTTGTTTCGTTTCGTTAACAAATAAATTTGCTAACATCAGCTTTACGTGACAGTCCACGACTATTAAGGGTCAGGGTCTTTTATAAGCATCTCGTTTCGCATTTGTATTACAGATCGCAATTTAAAAGGTTAAGGTTTATTAGAGCGTTGTTATTCGGTCTCTATTTTCTGGTCCCATAATCGGCCCTTGCGAAACCCATAGCTGAGATGGGTTATTAACAAATGCTTCACTTTACTCTGTATCACAGGGTCGTTGCTTATAATTAAAGCCTACTTATGATCCTCCAACCCTCTATCATTCCTTACAATGTAAAAACAGGAAGCAAATCAGCCGTGCCCAAGATTGCAGCGTATACATAAACTTTATATCGCATCTTTATAATTCCAGTACATACAGATAAATTTTACTTAATACTTGTTGCCTGGTTATACACAAGAGCTTTGATTATTTAAAGTTGTAAACAAGAATAAAATGTCCCCTTTTATTTTATAGTTATTGTATAAGAACTGAAAGGCTTCCTTTGTACCAAACAAACATTCATGTCGTAACATTTGCTATGTAGCCATATAACTTACTACTTTATTAGTTACTAATTAAGGTCTCTTCTCAAATGACTCTATTTATTTAATAAATCAATGGTAATAAATAATATAATTGAATTACTTAAAAGGATGATTGTGAATCAGAATTGAATGAGGTTTGTTTACATTAGGTGGTTTTGTTGTTATTTTGTAGGTACAAAGGTAAATTACTGTCTATTTTATAATTCAAAATTGTAAGTGGCCAGGTGGGAATGGATATCGCTCGCCTTTCTAGATTAACCAATCAAATTCTACCCAGGTAAGTATATCATTTACATCTCGAAAAAATTGCAGATGTAAAATGTTTAGCAAATAAAATTTCTTTGAGTCGCTATTATTATAATGAGGAATTATATAATTGATGTCTTGCGCAGCTATTAAGTAACATTATAACTATTAACATAACATGATATAATTAATTAATTGAATGTTATGGTAAATTATGTAAGTTATTTGCACTAAGAATGTCCGCAAAGTATTAAACACTAAGTATCTACTTAGGTAACCCATAATAAATTAATCGGATTTGCTTCAAATAATGAAAGGCAAAATTAGCTTCCACCTTTTAATTAATTTCATGGACTGTGTGACTGTAATGACTGACAATTAATTCTCAATAAAAAGATATTTTTAAACAAATGAAGCATTAACAATCTCATTGTCTATTGTCGTTGAAATAGATCTGCGATTATGACACACCGTCTTGGATACTGGCACGCTTGTTTTCCTTGTAATCTGTGTAGATGATAGATCAGGTAGTAGTAGTAGTAGTAGTACCCGTGGTAACGGGTACTGCTCTGAGGAATTGTTTGATCTGATTCCTACCACGTCTCAACGCCATCGACCCTCACGACAGCATTACCATCCCATCCTATAGATGGTTCTACAACAGTACGCTTTTCTCGTAGGTTTCTGCCTCGCGAAGCAAAACTGTGGAATGATCTGTGTTGGGCGGCGCTGATCGCTTACCATCAAGTGATCAATTGCTTCCTAGTTCCTATTCCATTAAAAAGACAAAGATCTAACTAATTAGATCAGAGAGATAATTTAATACGAACATATCTAAATGTGTTCGTATAAAAATTTCTTCGGATATGTTAGTGCTGGTTTCACGGCCAAAATTAACCAAATTCTAATTCTAAATCCAAATACCTTGGATTAAGACCGAAATGTGACACTTTATATGGAGTATCTTTCAAAAACTTAAACCAAACCAAGATTATTGTTTATTGTTGATAAATTAGGTGTCAGTTTCAGGCGAAAAGAGGGAAAATAAATAAAACTATCTCTAGTAGCCCAAAATCTGGAATTTCTATACAATGTTATACATATGTGCCTTAAAAGACACGTATACGTATAGTCCTGTACTACATTCTTAGTCTTCATAATGTGTCTTTGCGTCTAACTGTTTATTGTTTACGTTTTACGGCGTCCGGTCGTGTCGGATTGCCGACCTGAATCATGGGAGTGAAGCAAGAAAGTGAATTTTTTGAGCAGACCAAATACTCTTATAGTTATACTGGTATGTTCTGGGAAGAATCTAGTTTAAAACTGACTATCAAGATCGATATTGGTCAGCAGATTTAATATAAAATAATCCATTACTGTAGATTATAGCCTGATAGTTATTAACTGCAAATAAGTCGGTGTACATTAATATAACAAGATTAAATATTTGTCCAGCTTTCGAAATCGAGACTTCATTTTCGCAAGTCGCATACACAACCGTTTGACAAAAAGCCGAAATTATATTTTAATTTAAAATCCGACCTTATGTGACTGCACATTGAACTCTAATGACCTTTTTATTTACTCTTGGCACGAACATTACGCCATTTTGCAAACAAAAATAACAGCTGATTCGTAATCTGTAAACATTGCACGTTGATCTAAAAAGAATTTGCTAATAAAACTATCTATCTTTCATTTATGTATCTACTTTTTTGTATATGTACAAATAGGTGCAAACGTTGCCAGTAGAATTTACTTTCAACTCTATAACAATATGAAAGAGTTGAAACTCTACACTAGGTACCGTTCTTCAGAAATGTGACGGATTTTGGAGTAGTGTTATCAATGTGATCTGATTACGTTTCAATGTCTTTTCTTTCGCGTAGGTTTGCAACGGTCACCTCTGTGATATTTGATTCTGTTTATTTACAATCAAAATAGAACTAAAGTCAGTTTTCGGTCATCAAACATCTTAAGGGCGTTTACCTAAGAATTCGAACTCTCTATGCATCTCCATTTATTACTGATCACATATATACATACACGCCTGTCTTCTATGGAGGTAGACAGGGACTATGGAACGCCAATTGCTACGATTAGAAAGAAAGAAAGACAAATCGTTTATTCGCACTGTAACTAATTCTAAAACAAGAAAAATAGTAATACAATAAAAATGGTAAAATTGTGCACGGCACAAAAAGGCTCCGCTGAAATGCCGTGACCCGAGAGCGGTAACTCGAGTCGCGGCGCTGATTTTTTGCACCAGCCCAGTACTATAATAATAATAGAAAATAAATAATAAATATGAAAATATATTAAGTTTATGATAAAAATAGAAAATATTTGTGATGATATTTGACGACTCTCGCCACTTGACGATTCTTACATGCCTATTCGTTTATTCGTTTACTCGTTAATATTTACAAAAGTTTGTACACCTGTCCATAGGATTATTAGATAAACAATAACATTTATTTGCAATATTGTGTTTTCCTTAAAAATCCTTCCAAAAACTAGTGGGCTCAATTATGCCAAAACTGTTCGGATAAAATAGCTCTTTTGATCTTCTTTACGCCACAAGAAGACTTCCAGTATTTAATCCTCTATTGAACTAATTGTCTTAATACATATCTGTTATATTATTGTTACAGTGATGGAGCCCACGAGGCTATGCTTGGCGAGGGCCAAGTCCCCCAGATCGTCAGCAAAGAGACAAAAAAAGCTGACGAATATGAAGCCCTGCAGAGTTTCCTTCGCAGCATCAGCTCTACAGCCACATTACCACCTTACGTGAAGGGAGAAACTTATTCTTCAACACGAGGTGTATTCAACCAGGTAAGAAACATACTTGAATTCTTAGAGATAAGGAGACAAACGAGCATAATATTATGCTCCACAGAGATTGCATCTATATGAATCAACTGATGGTAAGCATTCTCTGTCTATTGGCTCTCTGACGTGAAATATTGGCTCTTTGCGGTCGTGCAAATATCAGCTTCTTTTGACTATAGCACGAGGAGGACGTTTCATGATAGGTTTTAATTGCAATATCTACTAACTAGGAAAACTGCCTGAATAGGCTTTTCGACATTCGTAAGTAGAGTCACCTACTATCCAAACAATTTTTTTAACGGTCGAATTGAAACCATTTATAAAACCTTAACTCCCAACAATAATGACTAACTTCAGTCAGCACACGAAAATTAATAACTCACTCGGAACATACCTACTTGCCTACTCACACTTTACTGTCGTGTGCAAAACTTGTGCGCGCTAATCATTGTCACAGTCCATTGGGACGCAGTTGATAGAACCGGTAATTACCTTGCCCTTCCCCAATCTCCCCAATGCCTGAATCCCCAACGAACCTCAAACTCCTAATCCCCAAAAAGCCGGTGACGCACTTGTAACGCCTCTGGTGTTCCAGGTGTCCATGGGCGACGCCGATTGCTTACCATCAGGTGATCCGTCTGCTCGTTTACCGGCTTATGCCATAAAAAAAAGAATGAACCTACTATTCAAACTATAATAAACCTACTATTCAATTCATACTATAATTTTTTTAACAGTGACGTTGAAATCAGAAATAGAACCTTAGCTCCCAATAATAATGACTAACTTCAAGCAGCACACGAAAATTAATAACTCACTCGGAACATACCTTACTTACCTACTAACACTTTGCCATCGTGTGCAAAACTCAGGCGCGCTAATCATTGTCACAGTCCATTGGGACGGATCTAGTAAAATCGTTAATGATTCATTACTAAAGAACCTACTATTCAAACTATAATAAATACCAACTATTCAATTCATACTATATATTTTTTAACAGTGACGTTGCTCTCAGAAATAGAACCTTAGCTCCCAACAATAATGACTAATTTCAGTCAGCACCTTTTTTACTTACCTTTATTTTTACTACTAAAACCACACACTAAATTCCAGAAAACAATGCGAGGGTCACTGGGTACTCGAATGAACGAACTCACTTGCGACACTCAACTACTCACAGTTTAGTCTCGTGTGCAATATTCAGGTGCGCTCATCATTGTCACAGTTCAATAGGACAGCTTTGATAGAACAGGTAGGTAATGAAGAAGATTAGGAACAGGATTTACAAACTTAATGAGGCATGAAGGTGAAACACCTACTTCTGGTGTTTTGTGAAAGAAAAACTTATTTAGTACTTTTTATCGCACCCGAAGTTTTAATCTATGTCCTAATTAGCAGTAAATTAGTGTCACTAAATTGAAAAATAGACAACTTTGGTATTTACATATAAAAAAAATACTACTGTTAGGTAATATCAATCCAAACGGTAGAATCGACGAGGTCCGATAATTCCGATTTGTAGAGCGCAGGTTTTTAAATTAACTAAAAATCGCGGGTTACTCACGTGAATATATTGAGAAAAGCTCTACTAGTTTCGAACCACAGAGGAGTTCTTCCCCATGAGCAGCGTCCGCGGTCGAAGCAATGTTGCGCAGCCTACCAAATTTTTACTCAAAATTTCATGTCTTAAACTTCCCTCAACGTTATGTCTTTATTTTATAATAACGATTAAACGCTTGAATATCTTGCAATTTTTCTGAAATCGGAAGTAGCGAGGAAGTAGGTAGTGGAAGCTATACAAGGTGATACCTACATATTACCTACATATCCCTTGAAAACTAATAATTGTTTATGTAGTTATTAATATACACTTCCTTAATCCTACATGGATATTAAAATCAAGTATTTTTACCCGAAGACACAACATAACATCACGCCTTTTATCCCCGAAGGGGTAGGCAGAGGTGTGCATTATGCCACTGTATAATGTAACCACCCACTTTTCACTATTTATGTTATGAGTCCCATGTAATAGGGGGTGAGGTTATTGCCATATACCGGGCACAATTCCAGACTCCGTGCAACTACTGAGATTTTTTTTTAAACCCAGTATAACTGTGCCCGACCCGGGAATCGAACCCGAGACCCCTTGCCCGGCAGTCGCACTTGCGACCACTCGGCCAACGAGGCAGTTACCCGAAGAATGACGTAAAAATACTTTCTTGAAAGGACAAAACGGATAGGAACATCACAACAAAATGCCTTTTGTTGTTTCTTTGAAACCAATCAATTATGTTCAGTATTTTGTCGTCATAATATTGAGTAACACTGTCTTACACTTGAGGGGCTAGTTCGGCTTTGTTATACGTTAACGTAATCGACACGTTTATGACGTTTAGTCTTCTGAGGGCCAAGCACGAATAACTATCGCATTCGCGTATCGTAACAGTATCGAGCGAGTTAAGCGTTCTGATTGGTTGGTTCACTTGAGCCGGCCAATCAGGAGCCCCGAACGCGCTCGATACTATTACGTTACGAATGCAATAGTTATTCGTGCTTGGCACTCTGATTGGGCTGCTCAGAATTACCATTAATTAACTATTAATGGTTGATCACACAAACTCGTACTAAGCCTGAGGGCTTTTTTACGTTTACATTTTACGTTTTTTACGTTTAAAGTTATCGAAACGAGACCGCGTTCGGCGCTGCGATTAGTTGATTCATTGAAGCCGGCCAATCAGAGCGCCGAACGTGGTCTCGTGTCTATTACTAAGCCCTCAGCTCTAATTGGTGGAATGTGATGAACGTGTAGATCGCGTTAACGTAAAAAAACTCACCCTCAGTAGAGTTCTAACTCACGGTTTTATATATAGATAGAATAATAATTCTATAGATAAAGACTTTTAACTAATAATAGTGAAAGTTTAAAAAATCTACTGCTCTTACAATGTCATTTCTTCCAATGTAGATAACAATAACAACACTAGGAAGCGTGGTTTTTACGATTTCCTACAAAAAGGAGGAAAATCGAAGAAACTTTTATTTGTATTTAACTTTTATTATATCTTATTTACAGAGCATTTTACCTTAACTGCCTAGTACCTATATTACGAACACCTACATATTTAATATGAGTATTAATTTATAGGCACAATATATTAAATGTTCTTCGTAAGACAAATCATAGGATCGTTAGGATTTACCCAATATCTGCCGATAAGGAAAATTTTACTAACGCTATTTTCGAACTGTGTTTCTCTATCATAATGGTAAGTAAATAGTAAAAATTGAGTTTACCTGTTACATCGCTTAAAAAATAAATAAAATGTAATGTTTAGTGTTTGTGATCCCTTGTGATCCTGACTATAGATTGGGTATAGTATAGAGAGTTAAGGTAGGTACTGTTACGCATGTTCTAAAGCTAGCTAACTTAGCTTCACCTAGCTTCACTGACGGACTGACTGACAGACTATTATTTATTTTGTTTAGGCTCATCCCCTATTACATGGGACTCAAAACATAAATAGTGAAAAGTGGGTGTTACATTGTACAGTGGCATAATGTACACCTCTGCCTACCCCTTCGGGGATAAAAGGCGTCATGTTATGTACTTTGAAAAGTAGCATGCTAAATGGCGTTCTATTGAGCATGCTCGAAAATGTTCAAAAATCAAACACTTATCGATTCGCAAGCATGCCAGAAATGAGCGTGTTAATTATGAGCAACATACCGACACACATGCTACTAATTGACAAGTACTTAATTAAAGCAAAGCATGCTTTCGTGCTTGATATTAGCATGTGTAACAAAACCTTTGTAAATCCATAGACGGAAAACAAATTGCACGTTATTTTTACACATATTTATAATAAATGATGCAATAAAGAACTTTTGCTTGTGTTTTTTATTATGATGCAATAAAGAACTTTGTAAATTGTAAGAACTAAGTGTGGGAGAGTCCTGCTTCGGCACGAATGGGCCGGCTCGACCGGAGTGATACCACGGCTTCACAGAAAACCGACGTGAAGCAACGCTTGCGTTGTGTTTCGTCGTGTGAGTGACCGGAGGCCCAATTACTCTCCCCTTCCCCAATCTCCCCAATCCCTGAATTCCCAATGATCCTCAAACTCCTAATCCCCAAAAGGCCGGTAACGCCTCTGGTGTTCCATGTGTCGGGGGGGCGACGCCAAACGCCAATTACTTACCATCAGGTGATCCGTCTGCTCGTTTACCGGGTACTGTAGGGTACTGAAACATACATACATAGGCAACATGTAACAAACTAGAAGCCACTAGCCAGTAAACATATTTCATAATTTAAATAGTCAACTAATTTAAATTTATGCACATTAAAAAAACAAATAAATGTATGTAATCATAGGTAGGTCCTAGCTAGATACTGTTTGTTTGCTTGTCAACCCTGAACTTTGCAACTGAATTGTAATTTATCATCAATTTTGCGCACGCGAACATATTCTACGAACACATTATATAGTAATAAAATAAATGTATGAACAAAAAACATTACACATGCACATGCTTCGCTTTTTGTCTGTTTATCTTTGATGGAACTAAAAAACTATAATCTGTGGTATATCAACTCATTTAGCCATTCCTAGCACTTCATGTTCATCAAACCATACATAGTCACATGTTTTGTGTTGTATTATTCAAAATTTTACATTACTCAATGTTTACAGTAAATCGTAATAATAAAAATAATTACATCATTGTCTACATTGTTGTTTTTGTGGATCGAACTTTCAAACGATCGAAATAAACGTCTTTTCGAATCGAGGAGGTCTTTGATCCTGGTTTTCAATCTAAACTGATAAATGATGCAATACTAGTTACTATTACTAAGTAGGTATATTACATACACCACAACACACATATCTATATCTACTTACTAAATACATTTTAATAAAGTACCGTAAGGGGACGGTCCCAAAGTCCAAAGTCACTTGACGACATTACGAAATACTATGTATACATACATA